TTAATTGTTAATTTTAGCATTGAATACGTACTCCATAGCGTGCTTGCTTTCTTGGTCTCAGATAATTCTATAAAATATGCCAGCAAAACGTTTTCGGAGAAAGTTTTTGCTCCTTTAGCTAGTCGCCACATGTTAAATATATCGTACTGTTTCAAATACTTCTCTCGTGATTGCTGAGGGAGAAGGCTCATTTGCGCATTATTAACTGTTTCAGTTAACTCAGTTGGCGTTAGATAAACTTCATCGTCGCTAATGTCACTCATTTTAGTTGATTTTTTTGTACAGTTTTTAGGTTATGTTAATTATATTAAGCAATAAAACGTGAAAAACTAGAATGGCGCGAAGCACGCAAATAAAACAAAGAAACCAAGAAGGTTCCAAATTTAAATTTTTTCACAATTTAAAAAGTTCTAATCATAAATTTGGCACCATAGAGGTTACATTAAATAGGTTTAATGACGTTTTGAATTTACAATTATATTGAGTACTCATTATATGTGATGTTCTAAATTCAAATCTACTTTGCCGCTCAAGCGAATAAAATAGAATTTTCCAGCCAGATTTCGAAGCGCAAAATTACACTTTCCGAGGTGGTGGGATGAAAAATAAATTGAGGGACTTCTTGTTGAAGAAGTGTTATTACAGTGTTGACGAATTTATGAGATAGGATTAGATTGACATTTTTTTTTTATATATATGAATTTTATCCAGTTTGACATAGTGTATTTGTATTTTCTTTTTCTTTGTTACAATTTTAATAATCCACTTTGACATCAAAAATTTGTAATTTGATTTATTATTTTATTTATGTTTGCTTTTATTTTATTTTGAATTATTATTATTTCCAACACAATTATATTGTTAAATGGAATAAATGAATTGAATTGAATTGAATACTAGGTACTCGATTATCTATATTTTGTCAATGAAGAAATAAGTAAGGTGTGGCGGTCTTGGAAACTTTCTGTATTAAGTGTTCAATTCAATTCAAATCAAATTCAATTCAAAAATCGTTTATTCAGTTTAGGCTTTTACAAGCACATGTGAAAGTCGAAAACTACGCCATAGGTTTGCAAAACTACGGCGGGAGACCTTGTACTGAGAAGAACCGGCAGGAAACTCAGTTGACATCAAACTTGCAAACATGTTTTGAGGTCAAATTCCATCACATAATTTCAAATAGGTAAATAATGGCGTATTGGACCGACGTAAAGAAGGGAGGTACTAAATGGCTTAATTGAAGCTTTGATAAGCACGAAACTACAACGGATAAGTAAGAAAGTATCTCCGCTTCACTAAAGATAAAAGCCGAGTCTAGTTGTAAAGACAATAAATCCGCAGGCACAAAGTTGACATAAAGCAAAGTTGTGTTAAACTTATACCTACGTACCTTCATGTCTGATTCGAGATCGAGCCTTTGTACTCGTATGAAAAGGAATTTATGTGTTGGAGTAGGTCTTACTTATTAGAAAACTATGATCACAAATCCTTTGTACCTCGAAGGATTTGTGATCATAGTTTTTTTATTTAAACTTTATTGCCTCAATTACAAAATGGACAAAAGGCGGACTTAACGCTAAAAGCATTCTCTGCCAGTCAATCTTCAGGGGTACAGAAAGACACAAATGCGGATTTTGATAGTAAATCAAAATCTTTCATAAAAATAATTAGCCATCATTGAACTACTGAAATATGTATATATTTTCATAATTAGTTTATTAATAATCTTTATATATATAATTCTTCTGTGAGTGTGTATGTCACTGAACTTCTCTTAAACGACTGGACCGATTTTGATGAAATTTTTTGTGTGTGTTCAAGGGGATCTGAGAATGGTTTAGATTCACAAAGACGTGTAGACAGGACAACGTCTGTCGGGTCCGCTAGTTATTTTATAAGACTCGAAACATCACCCGAAAAATGCAATATATACTAGTGTCTACCTACGTGTCGATCAGTACGGCAGCGGCGCAATTTTTAAAAGGGCTCTTAAAAGGGTAGCAAACAAGCGTGTGGTCCGCTTGATGGTAAGCAGCCATCTTAGCCTATAGATGCTTGCGGGGTTCCCCCTATCTGGCAGAACCTTTGGTTTTGGTTCGGTTCGTAAATCTACAGCGGGAGACCTTGCACTGAGAAGAACCGGCAGGAAACTCAGTAAGGTCTGTTTCTTACTCCCTGTTTTATTATTTACAGAGTCGTCGAAATTACAAAGTTATAGCGCGTCAAAGTTTGGGAGTAGGGGCTCGTGACGTCACTTTTGAGTGAATTTTCACTTATAAGTGTACTCAAACGTGACGTCATGCAACTTTTCAAATCAATATATCTCTGCGATGTTTATATTATGTGAAAAAAGAAAAAATACGTGTCCAATACTTTTTGAAAATCTACCTGATAAACGAAAAATTCATTCATTCATGAAGTCACCTTTCATTTCATAATGAGTAATATACATTAATTGTTTACCTGCATTTTGATTGCTGTGTCATACAGTATCATTACAAATAGGGTTATTTATATTAGGTGTAACTAGACATTAAGTTAGAAAAGTAGTTAAGACAGATCTCCGCTGGTAGCACCCATTCACGTGCATGACGCATGAACCAGCCATCAATCACTCCGCTCAACTATATTTTAGGGAACGTAACGACCCGCCTAACACGACACCACTGAAGAGACTTTTAAGAGAGCATGACTAACTTTAACCACCTATAGTAACTCACTCGCCATTCACCTTATAAACATGTTACGTAAGTGGATAAGCAGCTTCAAGTTTATCGACTCGGCTACGGCTAGACGACACCACACTTACGACTCCCCGACCGCTAGTTGACAGCTAGGCGGCACAAGTTCAATCAGTATGAATTCGAACGTGAAGCCGCGGGAGGGGCATAGACGGAGAAACGTAATTTAGGCTACATTGAGGTGTAAGGTAGGGTACGGAGACATGTAAGCTAAGTTACAGTGAGACGTAAGCTAGGCTATGAAGAGACGTAAACTAGTTACAGAAAGAAGTAAGCTAGGGAACGGAGAGTAAGCTAACACCGTACCGCTGTTCGGGAGCTTGTTCTTAGGCGAGGCGATTAGGTTACAAATCCGATCGGTGTGCGATGCAATAGGGACTTTCATACAAATAATACTGAGTGACTCAAGTTGATACGGTGAAGATTCCTTTCCGGGTTGATATGTCTGCTACGAACGTACGTAGGCGCCTAACATAGCTCCTAGCTTATATCTAAGCTTAAACCTGAAGTATAGCCTTAAGCTTTGCACCACGCTAATGGGCAATCGTTCTATGAAAGTATTCAGAGTTCTTTGGAAACCGTATCTGGGCCGGGAAACCAAAAATCGCACTGCAGATTTATTAATTGTATATGTTACCGGCCAAACCCGATTTTAGGACAAACTAGTTTTGCCTAGGCTAAACCAGATCTTCCTATACGCGATAGGATTAACTAGTATAACCTAGTCCAAATTAATTTGTCCTAAGCCCGATAGGATAGACCAGTTTAGCCTAGGCCAAACTAGTTGATCCTGATATAAATACGCATACTCTAGGATAAACTAGTATGGCCTAGTCTAAATATTATAGTATATCTAGAAAGTCAAAATAAATAGATAAACTGAATAAAATACTCCGTAATTGTAAAATAATATTTTTTATTAAAACGATAATGATTCATTGTTAAAAGTTATGGATAATTAGTAATACAAACAATTATATTATAACAAATTATATGTGCTTTTTAATAGAAGCAATAATCATATCTCAAATTATTAAAATTATTATTCAATTTTACATGGTGTCCTTTGGTGGCACTTAGAATTGCAGAATATCATTGCCTTCTTGAATTGAAGAGTATCATTGCCATCATTGGCATCTATTTGTGGAACATTTTTGTTGCAACTGCATCTCACAAAACAAAAGGCTATTACTTATGTGTGCGAGTGTACCCATGCGCATAAACACTCCCTCCACTTTCTTCCAGCGTTCTTTTTACATGACGCGACCTGTACAAGTCCTGATATGTTTGTTCAATTACTTTCGACTCTGCTAAATTGGTTTAGACTACGCCGTACTAGTTTATCCTAGAGTGTGAGTATTTATATCAGGATCAACTAGTTTGGCCTGGGCTAAACTGGTTTATCCTATCGGGCTTAGGACAAATTAGTTTGGACTAGGTTATACTAGTTAATCCTATCGCGTATAGGAAGATCTAGTTTAGCCTAGGCAAAACTAGTTTGTCCTAAAATCGGGTTTGGCCGGTAACATATACACCTAGTGGATTTGTAGATGAATATTGATAGCATTGGAAGTGACTCATCATCACAGTATTAATTATAGATTGCTCATCAATTAACATCCATAATTCAATTCTAAACTGTGAACAGAACTCAATTATAATGTTCAACATAGAAGAGAAATTCACATAAATTGCTCTATGATAGCTAATTTAGCGGCAGCTGCAACTTGAGTAATTTATCGAAGTTATATAAATATAATTTACTAAATTATTTTCAATTTAATAAGTTAATTTGGTTCATTTTAAACGCCTGGCAATATTTTTGTGGGATAGTTGAAAGTTTCAATCTGAGATTTTAGTTTCCACGATTTAGTCAATTTGTCTTTCTCAATTCACATACGAGTAGAGGAATTCGCAAAGGTATCAAAATGAAAAATCATGAAAAGCAAATTGCTTATAATCTATCAAGCGGGGTATCAAAGTAAAGGCTTTTAAAAGACGATTCAGAAGAATTTTAACAATTTGTACCCATTAGAAATTCTAGAAAGGCTCAAATTTTCCTAAAAATAGGTCCCGGCTGATAAAGTAACTTTGTTCCTTACTCACAATTCTATACTACTGAACATACTTTTTCTTTTTATTTAAACTAAATTTTTAACTTCTCCAAATTTACTATTTTAAACTCGTCAGCAATAACTTATCAGTTAAATTTTTAGGCTTATAAAGATCGCTTGCTACATATTTGTTCTTTGTCCGCAGTGTAAAGACTGAAGCGACTTCTAACGGTGCGCTGTCAAGGCTGTACATAGCGAACGCCAACAGAAACGATTCTGGCAACTACACCTGTTCTCTGGCGGACGTCACGGCGTCTGCTGTCTCCGTTCATGTCCTAAGAGGTGAGTGAGATAAAAATAGTAAATGTACCTAACGTCAAATGTCATTAAATATATCCCGTGTATAATTACCCTTCCTTGCGTACTAATAATATTATAAATGCGGAAGTGTGCCTGTCTTTGTATTAACTCTTCACGCTGAAACCGCTGAATTACGTTGAAATTTAGTGTAGAAAAATCTTGAATCACAGTGAAGGATGTAGGATAGTTTTCATCCCAGAAATCATCCTTGAAAGGGGTGAAAAGGAGGATGTAAGTTTATAAGAGAAACCACATTTTCTAAGCAGACGAATTCGCGGGAACCTTGTTGTTCTCTATAATTATTGTATTTATGGATATATGAGCGCAATGTAAGTGAAAGAATGGCTGTTTATTTATGCGTTGAAACTTGGAATAGGTTGTCGTGTGTAGAACATTGTCAATATTATAAAGCTGAACATTTTATTTGTAAGGTTGGTTGAACGCACTCTTTTCAAAAACGACTGATTGATACAAAAACTTTGACTCGTTTGACGAAAAGAAATCATTTAGCTTCATTAAAGAATTGTTATAATGAAGTCGTTTTTTAATTACACTACAAACTAAAACGTAACTTCAAAAAGCTACTCCGTTTTGCTATCTGTATAATGAAATTACCTCATAGAAAGCAATTAAACAAATTATCTATACCTGTTTCAAGCTATATTGAGTGCAAAACCATGTTTGTGTATTCCCCAAGAAACGAAGCAGTGCAAAATTAATTAGCTCCAAAGCGTATTATGTCAGAACAAAGCATACTCTATAGCAATTATAATAAGGACTTTGTTTGCTTTTAATTTTAGGGGAATTGGCTTGCAGGCCAGTCATTTGATAATGAATAACGGAAACCAAATCGCTTTTCCCTAGACGGATAAAATTTATGTATTTTTACTTCCCGGTCAGGATTAGGTGCGGATGAAAATTGGACGATGAAGCATTTGCTTACATTTCTATGCAACCTATTTCTTTTGTTACTTGGATAATACTCGTATCTTGACTCAACTTGACATGATTAACTTTCGAGTGACTCAATGTACGATCGGAATCCTGTTAATTATAATACCAGCGACTTTATCTTCGTGGAAAAATTTGTTTCCCACACAAACTTTAAACACCTATTTTACTCCTTCATGGGGTGAGTTTTAGAAAATATTTTCTTAGTACCTTATAATAGCTATATCTGTGCCAAATTTCAGCGCAATCCGTTCAGTGATTTGAGCTGTGCGTTGATAGATCAGTCAGTAACGGTTGCCTCTTATTTATACAGATTATTATGTTTAAATATAAATCATGGCGTTTCGAATCCTTTTAACGCTTTCAGATAGGCTCCACGCCAATAAGTATGTAAAAAATTCTAATACGCACTTCATGTACACTTTTAATATGTTCCATTGAATAATTGGTCTCCGTGAAAATATCTAGAAGAATCTGAATATCGATTCCAATTTTCATCATTATCAAGCAGACAGACAAACAGAATGACTTTCATGGATTAGATACCAATATGGATATTGGTTCTTAAACTTATTTTCTTTTCGCAGGTGAAAACCCACTCGCGATGCAGCGCGGGAACAGCGGAAGCGCCACCTATCCATCGCTCGTTTTCTTCGTGTCGCTCATTAGCTGATACATAGCCGGCGCGTACTGTACGCGCTGCACCTTGTAAAACCCCTTACTCGTCATAAATCGCTAGAGTTACTTTATTCGACCACATGAGTAAATAAGGCACAGAAGCAAAGTTTCATACCATGCGTGTGTATGAGTGAGCACTAGCGCCTGTCGCGTACGCAGAGAAATGCTTTGTGAAGGGAGTCCAAGTAGAGATTTTGGGATATACGCGAGCGCGGCAGAATAACATAAGGAGGCAACCTTGCACCTTGTGAAGTACTCCCACTATACCTGAGCCCTTTATAGAGGTTCAAACGTCTATGGCAGCAAACGGCCATGACTTTTGGATCAAAATCGACAGTCTTTTAAATATATACTGGTGGGTTCACGTAACGTAAAAACTATATAGGAAAAATAATATTTTTTCCAGTTTGTATAACGTGGAGTAGAAAATAGGAAAAAAAATATTCGAGCGTGCCAGACATTGAGAAGGGATGTAACTTGAACCCTCCAGTGGATCCTATTCAAAAGACTGATGATTTGGACGCCCCAAAACAATCATGATATTTTTTTGCTGCCCTACACATTTCACCGTATTTATAAGGCTCAGGTATCAGGTATCAGGCTCTTTAGTTATTCAGTCGCGTTCGAGTAAATCCCAATATCTCCGCTTGGGCTCTCCTACTATTTCTATTAGTGGAGACAGGACACCAGTGCTTACCCAAGCACGCACACTGCATGAAGGTTTGCCTCTGTACCTTCTTTACTCACTTGGTTCGGATACGAAATCTGGATTGTTCACGGGAACTTGTGAATCAAGTGCGCCACTTTGTATAGTTTCCGTTGGAAATTTCAATCTATGTAGAGGGAATTTTAAGCTCTGTAATCAGTTTATGCAGGCTATGTTAATTAAACTTGTATAGAAAATAGCACGGTGGTTTCATTCACTAAAATTCCTATCGTTAAAAATATGATATCATTAAAATTAGTGTTCATTTTCACGTTCATCAAAAGTTTCTAAGTTTACTAAAGTGAAAACATTCTCGTCGTCGAATTTATATTTCATTAAATAAGAAAACACTTGTAAATTTTTAATGAATACATAATATGTAGTTACACTATGCCTCTATGTTTTCCTTTTTTTGTAAATGCTTATTAAATCTCCACACTAGACGTCTTCAGTGGTGATTTTTTTTTGTCATTTTTGAGGGCTTCTGTTATCGAAAAAGTAAGACATAGGAGCATAGAATGATTAAAATTATACTTTACAAGGAGGAATCAGTGGAGAACGTTTGTATGGAACATATTGAAGTCATTTTTCAATTTGATCCTTTGCTGAGTTTTTTGCCGGTTCTTCTCAATACAAGGTTTCCCGCCGTAGATTTGCGAACCGATGGCGTAGCTTTTCGACATTCACAAGTGCTTGTTACAGCCTAGACTGAATAAACGATATTGAATTTTGAATATTTTTGAAAAAACATTGCCCGCCTTCCCTCTTACCGGGCAGCGGGAATGCTAAGAGAGTCGCTTGTAGCGCGGTCAACATCAATATGTTTGACGTGGACCGCGCTACAAGCGACGTTTACTATGGTAAGTCACTAAGCGAGAAGTTAATCTAGCGCAGACCTAAGAGGAGGAGTTTGCGATGGTAGCAATTTAAGCAACATTCGCAATAGCTGGTCTCGGAATTGGTGACCAAAAATTTATTATTTCTAGCTCCTCCATGATTCGGAAGGCAGGTTGTTCCCGGCTGCTTAATTAGCCAGGAGCACTAATCACTCCACACTAAGCTCGCGTGGTGGATCTATCTCCGCCAAGCTTCTTTATTCCATCTATGGGGAAGGCCTGCGCCTCAGAAGTGGGGACATTATTAGGTTGATGATGATAATTGTTATAGGTTGGTTCTGTAACGTCCTTGACGTTATAACCTCCTTGTTTAGGTAAACTCTTTGCTTTTGCAATGCCTACGGTTGGCAGTTATATTAAAAAAAGTTAATGTCATGATTTTAAGATTTGAAATAAGGAATCGTCTGTCTTTTGATAGAAGGTTCCATTCTAGATTAGATCTTCAGGCACCAAGAACTTCCTCTCGTATTTAGATAAAAAATTCTTTGTAATCGCCTGAATGATAAAATAAAATAAATAATTTATCTCTATCAGTATTTTTTCAATTATCGTCTACGCCCCTAGGTTCTATCCATTCTGGGTAGAACTCTATATGGTGGACGCGCCGCGTTAGCTTCAAGTACCGCGAGTGAAAAATAATTTTAAATCAAGAAAGAAGTAGTTTTATGAAGATGGAGACCAGGACCACATTCGACGGAAAAGGTGATGTAACCGATTTCTTTCGTCAATTTAATATCATCGCCGCTATCAATAATTTCAACGAGGATACGAAAAGAGTTGTGTTGTCGGCATATTTAAGTGGACCTGCATTGTTATTTTATAAAAATATTAATGAGTCTTGTGAGAATTTTCAGATTCTAGAAAAGAAAATTTGTGATGAATTTCCATCATCGATAAATGCGTTGGAAAAATTTTTCTCACGAAGACAAGGCTTGTCAGAAGAGCCATTGACTTTTTTTTATATATTGGATGAGCTGGCCACAAAAGCGGGAGCTGTCATCGATGACAAATGTTTCATTAGACAGTTCTTGAAAAATGCGAATTTGAATACAAAAAATCTTTTCGCATTTCAGTTATATAGTGATAAAACACATTTGAGAAATGTTTTACGACAAGCGCAGGACATTTTTGAGGACGAAAGCGTCGAAATTAGTTGGAATCTGCCGATCCAACCATCGTTTGCTTGTGAAACGTCGAAAATTTCTCATATAATAAGGCATGAAGAAGAACAAGAGAAGGAAATCAACTTCATTTCCTCCCAAAGTGTCCTTTCTCATCCCAGTATCCCTCCCGAACACATGATTCCCCGCACTTTTTGTTCCAGTAACACGAACAAAAAGAAGTATAAATCAAAGAAGAAGAAGCATCCAAAGAAAATTTTTTATGAAGAAAATGTTATGACGATAGCTGATGGACAAGATTTTCATTCCCAACCGTCAGAAAACAACAATCAATATACAAGTGAGTCCAAACCATTAATTAATATAACGTGTCGTGATAAGAAGTTTGTAGGGCTCATTGATAGTGGTGCTGCAGTGTCTGTGGTGTCGAAGGACACAGTAAGTCGAATTCATCAACAAATTGATGAAAGCGATATGAAGTTGAAAGCTGTCGATGGTAAAGAATTGTCTGTTATAGGGAAAGTCAACCTAAAATTATTGATAGACAATGCGTTATTTATTCACGATTTTCTTGTGGTAGAAAATATTAGGCATAACCTCATCTTAGGACAGGATTTCTTACTTCGAAATAATGCGATAGTAGACTTTTATAATGAACAATTAATAATCAAACATATTAAGTGCAAGTTTAAAAGACAATATACACAAAAGAATAATGAAAGGAATAGTGATAATTCGGTGTATGATGAAAATTTATATTATGCCGAATAGGTTGATAGTACAATAATAATAATGTGTTACTAATGAAATTTTATTTCAGTTTATTGTTTATATGAATGTTTTAAAGCAATGGTGGTATGTAAATAAGGTTCAATACAATAGTTATTTTAGAATTTTATTTCAAAAGCATATTAAATATAACTTTGTCGTTTTATTAGAAATTTTTTTTCAATACACATATTATAAGGAACTTTTACATATTTTGTTTATGACAGATCAATAGGTAGTCTCATTAAAGTATTTTCATTTCTTTTAATTGTTAGCTTTAATGTAATTTGTTGAGTAGGTGGATTATTGATATCGTAATAACCATAAGAATGATAGGTAACAGGTTCGATTCTCTGTTCAACTTGGAATTATTCAATTGACTTTGAATATGATCATAGATAGGATTAATTCAGTATTAGGATAGAATATATATAGTTAATAATGTATAATAGGATAATATAGGTCTATAAAGAAAATTCCCTTATTATAAAAAAGGAAACGGGTTCGATTCCCTGTAAGGTTAAAAAAATAAATAAATGAATAATAATATTATACTTTGAAAATTTACCCAACTATGGAAAAGAGGCTATAAAGATTTATCATAAATGTTTTCTTGAATATTAACTTACCCGACTGAAGAAAAATGGTGTAAAGAATTTTACTAATATTTTCTTGATTGTTTTATGTACTACCACATGATGCGGACTTCCCGAGAGAGAGCAGGCTGGCGCTCATGCAGACGTCAGCGATACTGACGATGATCCACCCTGAAGATGATGGAGACACCCTCTACGAATTCGCGTCGTTTTCGTTTCAATTTGGTCGCGTCGCGTTCGTCAAAATCGTCACTTGTAGTAGTTTGACTTGGGGGTAGGGAACCCTTAGTATTCTATGGGAATTGGGTTTAATCTTGTTTGATGCTAGATGTCCTTACCCAAAATTTCTATTACGTTTGCGCATCATGGGTGTCTAATAAAGTACAAGACAATAAAGTGGTGGACCACGTCTGTATCTTTATTAAAGATGTACGAAAGTAAACATTAATTATAAATTCTTTTAGGTTTTGCTCAAATCCAGTTAATGTTTACGAATCTTAGGAAATAGTTTGAATTTCGTTTCGTACATCTACTTAGTATGGGAAGTAATGAAGTTTCAAAATATAAATTTTCTTGATATTTAATGGTTTAATAAATGGGATAGGGTAAAGTTTTGTTGATAGATGGGATAAAAAAAAAAATTGCTTGGGTAATTTAAGTTATAGCTAGGGTTAGCTTTGTTTTTTTTTGTTTTTGCCGACTGATGTCGATGTAAAGTAAAGTAAAGTTAAGGTTAGGAGGGAGATGTGCGAGGGATTTTGTTAAGGTTTTGCTCCCGTAAAGTCTTTGCAATAAAACTTTGCAAATAGTTAGGGTTCTTTTCCCGTAAAGTTTTTTTTTTGCAAGTTTTGCAAACTTATTGTGAGGGCTAGTCTGTAGTAAAGGCCACCTCCCAGTTGTATTTATGTCCTTAAGCAGGTAGGGATTTTAGATAGGACCGTCGAACCCTCTTGATGTAGTAGGTAGGAAAAAAAATTTTGTTCGGTCATCTGGTATGACAAAACAATTTTTTTTTTTTAGAGGTGCCGGAGGGATGTAACGTCCTTGACGTTATAACCTCCTTGTTTAG